CCAAATGGAGCCAAGAACAATCCTTAGTCTAGACTTGCTAAATCATTCTAGACTTGCTTGGAGACAGACTATAGCTCTGTGTCTTGTAACCAATGTTTCTTGTCAATTGTGTACATGCTATACCAGGTTAATCCTATAATCTTTCTTCGATTCCCGACATAGTTACAATGTGTGAAGCCCATTTGATTTGTCCCCCGCCGTGATATTGCTGGAATATTGCTAAAAGCGGCGTAAAATCAAACACACTCACTCACTATAACTCAGATTATAAAGATTGATTCAACAGACGAGGATAGTGTCTGAATAACTTCGTTTCTTTCCAGCTTGCTAGTACTGCAAGGTTTAGAGTGCATCATATATTCAATTAAGGTGAGGCTCTTGTTTCCGTGCGCGGGGACCTACCTTGCCAGGCAGTAATTGGGCAGTTGACTGGGTACCCCCGTGTCTACATGTATGTATGGCTTGAAGCGACCGCATGCTCATGCGCAGGGATGATAGTATTGTGATATATCTATGATCGTTCGGAATATGTTTAATATAGCACAACATTAAACTTGGGGTTAACATTATTCATATAGCCATTTACCGGAACTGCAGTAGGGATTATGTGCTTGTGAAGTGCATATGATGATCATGATCTACGAATGGCTGTTGGTGGAATAAGCAGATGTCTGTGCTTCGTTCATACTGATCATCAAAAGTAACACACGCAGAAACATATTTTCCAAAGTCGCAGTTATACAGGTGGCTAGTCTGTCACACAGGCCCTGAAACAATATATAATTGACTAACAATCTTTTCTGTAACACATGTTCATTTCAGAGACTATGCGTTAGTCTAGCAGGTGGCCTCAGTTTGCTAGATGGAGAGAAGGCTGTCGCGGTGACATCATCTGCGTGGATGTCAAGCAGTTATAGGGACCGGTGATTTATTGCAAGAGGGGAGGGGCAATGGGTTTTTTATACGCCAATGTACAGAAAATAATGACACTCACCTAATACTTGGGAGGACCCCATACATGTCCTTGTACATTTCTTTTAAGACACTCAACGAAAAGACAAATCATTAACTGTCCATTTATGCATGACCCTCCCCAAATGTGTTTTATTTCATATGACCCTCCCCTAGAGACTGTCTGATTCCGGCCGGTTTAGCATCAACAGGGATCCAACATATCGATCTCACGAACAAAATGCAGATGTGCAGCCCGTAATAATATGGCCAACCCCGCCGTGCAAAGTTTTAAATTCACTCATGCAAGATGATTGGTTCGAATCTCAGACACTATGATGCTTGGTTTGTCAGTACCATACACTCGTCATCATGGGTTTCATCACCGACAGTATGATCCTTGGTTTGTCAGTACAATACACTCGTCATCATGGGTTTCATCACCGACAGTATGATCCTTGGTTTGTCAGCACCATACACTCGTCATCATGGGTTTCATCACCGACAGTATGATCCTTGGTTTGTCAGCACCATACACTCGTCATCATGGGTTTCATTACCGACAGTATGATGCTTGGTTTGTCAGTACCATACACTCGTAATCATGGGTTTCATCACCGACAGTATGATCCTTGGTTTGTCATCACCATACACTCGTCATCATGGGTTTCATCACCGACAGTATGACGCTTGGTTTGTCAGCACCATACACTCGTCATCATGGGTTTCATCACCGACAGTATGATTCTTGGTTTGTCATCACCATACACTCGTCATCATGGGTTTCATCACCGACAGTATGATCCTTGGTTTGTCAGTACCATACACTCGTCATCATGGGTTTCATCACCGACAGTATGATCCTTGGTTTGTCAGTACCATACACTCGTCATCATGGGTTTCATCACCGACAGTATGATCCTTGGTTTGTCAGTACCATACACTCGTCATCATGGGTTTCATCACCGACAGTATGATGCTTGGTTTGTCAGTACCATACACTCGTCATCATTGGTTTCATCACCGACAGTATGATCCTTGGTTTGTCGGTACCATACACTCGTCATCATGGGTTTCATCACCGACAGTATGATCCTTGGTTTGTCAGTACCATACACTCGTCATCATGGGTTTCATCACCGACAGTATGATGCTTGGTTTGTCAGTACCATAAACTCGTCATCATGGGTTTCATCACCGACAGTATGATCCTTGGTTTGTCAGCACCATACACTCGTCATCATGGGTTTCATCACCGACAGTATGATCCTTGGTTTGTCAGTACCATACACTCGTCATCATGGGTTTCATCACCGACAGTATGATCCTTGGTTTGTCAGTACCATACACTCGTCATCATGGGTTTCATCACCGACAGAATGATCCTTGGTTTGTCAGTACCATACACTCGTCATCATGGGTTTCATCACCGACAGTATGATCCTTGGTTTGTCAGTACAATACACTCGTCATCATGGGTTTCATCATCGACAGTATGATCCTTGGTTTGTCAGTACCATACACTCGTCATCATGGGTTTCATCACCGACAGTATGATGCTTGGTTTGTCAGTACCATACACTCGTCATCATGGGTTTCATCACCGACAGTATGATCCTTGGTTTGTCAGAACCATACACTCGTCATCATGGGTTTCATCACCGACAGTATGATCCTTGGTTTGTCAGTACCATACACTCGTCATCATGGGTTTCATCACCGACAGTATGATCCTTGGTTTGTCAGTACCATACACTCGTCATCATGGGTTTCATCACCGACAGTATGATCCTTGGTTTGTCAGAACCATACACTCGTCATCATGGGTTTCATCACCGACAGTATGATGCTTGGTTTGTCAGTACCATACACTCGTCATCATGGGTTTCATCACCGACAGTATGATCCTTGGTTTGTCAGTACCATACACTCGTCATCATGAGTTTCATCACCGACAGTATGATCCTTGGTTTGTCAGTACCATACACTCGTCATCATGGGTTTCATCACCGACAGTATGATCCTTGGTTTGTCAGAACCATACACTCGTCATCATGGGTTTCATCACCGACAGTATGATCCTTGGTTTGTCAGTACCATACACTCGTCATCATGGGTTTCATCATCGACAGTATGATCCTTGGTTTGTCAGTACCATACACTCGTCATCATTGGTTTCATCACCGACAGTATGATCCTTGGTTTGTCAGTACCATACACTCGTCATCATGGGTTTCATCGCCGACAGTATGATGCTTGGTTTGTCAGTACCATACACTCGTCATCATGGGTTTCATCACCGACAGTATGATGCTTGGTTTGTCATCACCATACACTCGTCATCATGGGTTTCATCACCGACAGTATGATCCTTGGTTTGTCAGTACCATACACTCGTCATCATGGGTTTCATCACCGACAGTATGATCCTTGGTTTGTCAGTACCATACACTCGTCATCATGGGTTTCATCACCGACAGTATGATCCTTGGTTTGTCAGTACCATACACTCGTCATCATGGGTTTCATCACCGACAGTATGATCCTTGGTTTGTCAGTACCATACACTCGTCATCATGGGTTTCATCACCGACAGTATGATCCTTGGTTTGTCAGTACCATACACTCGTCATCATGGGTTTCATCACCGACAGTATGATCCTTGGTTTGTCAGTACCATACACTCGTCATCATGGGTTTCATCACCGACAGTATGATGCTTGGTTTGTCAGTACCATACACTCGTCATCATGGGTTTCATCGCCGACAGTATGATGCTTGGTTTGTCAGTACCATACACTCGTCATCATGGGTTTCATCACCGACAGTATGATCCTTGGTTTGTCAGTACCATACACTCGTCATCATGGGTTTCATCACCGACAGTATGATCCTTGGTTTGTCAGCACCATACAGTTGTCATTTGTCTGAATGAATATTTAACGCCAAAGGCTAATTACGCTGTAGCCATGATATGCGTATATCTAGAACCACTTAATTGCCATTACTTATTGAATGCTAATCCAAACTGGTAATCCCCATTGTATTGTCATTTATTATTAATTTATTATAATGTCATTTATTGCCTAAATCGATTATCCCCTGTGCTGGATCAGTAATCATTTCCATATTTGCAGGGCAACGCCATTGTCTCTGTCTTTGTTGCCCATTACTATAATATGTGTAACATTTATACTGTTAGTTAGTTTTGGTGTTCCGAGTGCTTGTGTACGGAGCCAACCCCAACTCTCCTCCCCGTCATATACGCGTTGACAGACTCGTCATCACGGCTTCCACCAAAGAGGTAAATGTCTGCAACCTGCGTCAATCCTTGGACGTCGCGTTGTAACTGGAAAACTGTTCGAAGCGGCCATTCCCAAGCCACCTCACTCACTCACTGGTAGACGCTTGTAATTTTCATTACTGCGCTGGACGTTGTCCCTTGATTTCATATTACTGTCTACAGTTTTGGGTGTTAGGCCTAATGGTTAAATAAGCAGTCTGTGAAGTTATTTTTGAATCCATTGACCCAACCGAGGTCGTATGAATACTGATTATATATAATCTAAAACAGGAAGTGATGTAAACCACATAATCCACACGTATCACACACAAAAAGAAGATCAGCATCTATCAATCCTAATTGATGTGTCAATAAAGTTGAATCAAGAACAAGAAACATTTTGCGTATGACATAGTATTTATATGTGTTAGAAAGCATTCGCCATACGGTCCATTATAAATTACGGTAACTATACCGCGATAATATAGGCCTAGCGTACCATATGCTATATAGACTCCCTGATATTATCTAGATCTATTTAATTATTGAATAAACAACAAAGTCTTAAATATAATACATTGTCCAATCAATTATCTGAATAATTACAGTTGTTTTCACTACATATATATTAACATTGCTGTAGAAATGATATAACACTCATGTGTGCATTTCTCAGCTTGTGGACTAGAAGTCGACTCGGCAATAAGCTGTTGGCAGCGCCACAAATTGTCTCTGTGCGGAGCTTTGGGCTCCAGGTAAACGGCCTTCAACCGTCCTTGACATCTGACCTTTCTTACCGAATGGTGACTGGAAACGAAGAACCGTGTCGCAGGGTTTTGAGGTCAAGTCGCGTCATATCTGAGACACTCGTGCTCCATTCATTCGCAGAAGTTCCCTCATAACCTCTCTCGTGTGTCGAAGGCCAGGTAAGCTTACTCGTTGTGCGAGTTTTTCCGAGACATTGTCAATTTTCGATTCATGGCTTATCACATATTTTACAGAATGTTATATCACCACCACACCGAGAGGGAGTCAGTTATTAAGTCTATATTAGGCGACGGCATATCATCATGATCATCATCAACATCATCACCATCACCCATCATCAGCACCAGTGTTTAATGGGGTGAAATGGGTTTACGTCGCGTTCAAGATTATTCCACTCACCTGTGAGTGTGTGTGTGTGTGTGTGTGTGAGAGAGAGAGAGAGAGAGGGAGAGAGAGAGCACATGCACATAATTACCAAATGTGTCCTTTTCTGCTTTCGTATCAGAATGTCTTTACAAATATCTCTATTTACTGATCAAATGCAGGACTCCATTGCAGTGAATAATGTCTTCAACTGCAGTGTTGCTGTATAAAATAGTTATTTTGACATCTCAGTAATTAGATATTTATAAACATGTGATTAGAGGGGCAAACATGCTGACCTGATATGGAAACCAAATGGTTATGTTAATTTAGTAGGGGAGTAGTGGGAGTAAAGAATTTTCAGAGTTCCATCTTCTTCGTGTTCATTTCCTCAGTTGTTCTAACTGCATGCCCCCTCTCAGGACCTCCTCCAATAAGTAACATATCTGTGCTTCAATAAATGAAAAGACAATGTTATATAAGTTATGGACATTTGTTTTACTTTCAGCTGAGGATGACACAACATTAAATGTTGAAGTATTAACATAAAGAGCAATGCTTTGGTTGCTTGAACTATATCACTAGCTAGCTCTCTCTCAGTGATGAAAGCAGATACTTCTCAATCCAGTGTAGTTGTTTGCTCTCTTTACAAAGTAAACAGAGACACTTTTTACAAGTTTGGCCACACATTTTTTAGTTTTTATTTCATGGGCCCACATCTCCTACTGATAAACCTCCTGTCCAAGCAATAAATAAACATAAAAATATTTATTTTTGTTAACATGTTACTGTATTTTCTTGAGTAAAGAGCACACTTGTTCCAAAAGATTACAGCTGTGTAGAGGGTAGTATGCCAGATAAACTCCTACAATGACGTTTGATGTTTCCCCACTTACCCACTTTATAGTATTGTGTAAGACTAAATAACTATTTGAAGTTGCTCTTTATTTTCATGTTTATTTCGACTGACCTTGTGTGGAAAAGCTGGAATAAATCTGTGAAATATAAAATTAAAAAAGATTGGCCTTACATTACACAGACGTTGCCTTTCAACCTGATCAGTATGACTGAGTTTACCATGTGGCTCAGTACAAACCATGTTTGAACATGCTCTAATCCCTACTTAATCTAAGCGATTCATGAAATCAGTCTTAGCTATATGAAATCTTATAGTAAATGTAATCTTACCTATGTCGACTTGTGTTCTGACTTTGGAAATAGAAACAGAAATGTGGGCGTCCTTTTTCCTCATTCGGTACTGTTCATTCACAATGGGTTTTGACGTTCACTGCATGAAAATAACTATACCATGTAAACTAGTAACGTATCTCTCTGTAACGTATTGGTCATTTGTAATCTTCCACATGTTGGTTTTTATTATCAAAATAGTCTCTGATTCTCAAACAGACCCCCATAGTGTACACTTTTGAAGCTTTATGCTAAGGAAATGTAACCTTAGGGGTCGGGTACTTTACCCTTCTCCCTTGGTCACTTGTTCTGATCAACCACTCCTTAGTTCTAGGGATGATGTAGCTCTCTCAAAATCACAAGTCAGCTGGTTTGCTCAAGTCCTTTTTATTTATGATAGAATTAATCATAATTATACACACATGGTCCTCAGTTATTTTCTTGTTGCCTGTGTAACTTAAATACAACACATTCCTAAGGGATGTATCGAAGAGCCTGATAAGTCTTTTTGATCAAATGTTAACTCTAATACTTTTCTGACCTGGAATTCCAATCTACAGAGAGAACCTCTCTGTTCAGCCGTTAGCTTCCGAATCCCCGCACCACTCCCGGACAACTCACTAAATACTATCCATGATATCTTTAGCTCCTCCCACCGAAATAATATTTGACATCATGTGAAATGAGTCCTAACGCTCACGTCCATATGAACCCCAATTTCCGTTCCAGTCACTTATACTATCAAAACTCTTCTTATTTCCTCCAGTTGATTTCCTAAAGTCATTAGTCAACCAAACATACTCATAATTCAAACAACCCTAAGGTGAAAACCCATTACCCTGTGAGGTAACGAATCCCCCTAACAGTCATTTCTGATTCAAGCAATCTTGGTAATTTCTGCTAAAAGCCATTTCTATTTCCCAGAGAAGCAAAACTGATAACCTTTTGACCTGTTGGTGATTCCCTCACCCTGTACAGTCACTTCTCTCACATCCATCTGTATTTTAACCTAAGGCCTGATAGAATTTAATAAACTATGTTTTAAGTTAATATTAAAACCTTTTTCCAAAATACCCTGGTTATAAAAAATTGAAATCAGTTCATGTAGCAGAAACTGCTAATAACGTTGGTAACATATGTTTCTTATCTCATGTAAATTATAATATATGCTGCATGTTTTTAAAATCGCAGTTATTTGTATGTGATGCTTTGGTTCGGTTCTCAGTTTCATATTTATTTATATTTTCTGAACAAATTCTTTTTTCCATTCTTTAGATAATGTCAGTAGTAAAATAGTTAGAGATAATCAAATTTGCATAATGTATCTGTTGCAATAATTGCCAATAAAGACAATATTTTGACCAGTGTTGTGGCTTATCTTAGTCTGCTGCTTATCACAGCATATCCTGTATATATACATCTCATTACTTGGCTGTCGCTCCAGCTTGATAGCGGTGTAGGAATCTACATCAAAACGTCGCTATATGCAATAAACCAAAGTTGTTATCCATAAAGTTGTATGTTTCCTTACTAACTCACCAACTTCTAGAATGCCAATCAAACAGTTAGTGACCGTACAGTTCTTTTAACACAGAACAGTTACCATTGGATTTATAACATGTGTTCGATCTGCTTTGCTTTTAAGTCCTGAAGTTTGTGATAAAGACTGAATGTAGAAATAAAAGCTTGTATTGCAATTCTGTAGATCATTCTTTATTCTTGTTTGAAAGAAGTACATATTCACAAATTAAATCGAAAGAATAGTTACCAAAGCACATCAGATTTTAATTATCTGGTGATAATTATAGTATTAAAGTTCTGTCAGAAATGCTAGAAAACTGCTTTTCTGGCTTCATGTAATAAATACGAGTCATAGGACTATAAGAAGAGCATGTATCAAAATAAGCTGAATTGACCTAATCTAGTCTGTCCTAACTGACATTGTGATTACCCTTAAAATGTACTTACCTAACACCTGTCCTGAGGTTATAACCTCACACCGTCCCGTGCATTCTCCCAGGTGTAAATGTCACCGAGTTGGTCTCAAAATATTGCTGTTATTGTACTTAATTGATATGCGTTGATGAGATGGCAATTTAGGATATGTACTGCATTATATTTGATTGGAAACACGATGGACTAGTTAACATGGTTAAGAGCTATGAAACGGGTTGAGTATTGGAAGGTTGCAGTTTTGGAATCCAGAATTATTTGTTGTTCTACAGCTGGTTTCTTGAGATAGTATTTATCTCTGCTGAGGACGTATATGAATCTGTACTTTTGAATGTCATGTTATGTCTTGCTATGAACCCGTTACACTTAGCCAAGATGGGCCCAACAGGATTGAGCTCACGTCTGACTGGCATATGTAGGACAACGTAACCGTGTTGTGCCGCCACCACATATGTCTTGTACTTTACTGGTTTCTTATTCAGCCAAATTTTCTCCATCCGTTGAACTTTCGTTTCATATTGTCTGAAGTGGACAATGTCATATACAAGTATTCCTGTATGGTCGCCTTTAGACTACTTTTGTTATATTAACTGGCATTATCCATGACAATAACACTGGTGTTGTTTCAAATGGGCAATAGCTGAAGTTCCAACCAGTCTATGAACACATCACCTCCTATAATTTCCTTATGAAAATCACCAGTTTTCTTTTTCGCCTCGAAAACTAGCACACATCCATCAATAAGCCCCACATCATTAGTTGCAGCGTGCAAAACAAGGACACGATTACATTTACCTGATGGGTGCCGATAGCCACATGTAGTCCGTGGAATGATTCATCAAGGTAAATTATCTGGACACCCTTTATGTGATAGTTATGAATGGTTCAGAGATAATGTGACCCCATAGACAGGATGGAATATTTTCCCCTGCAAAAGTGCTCGTTGATCTCCGCGCGCTGTGTATCGAAATCCCATCTCTTGGTGAGCAATAGTCAGTGTAGTCCGGGAAACATTAATTGTATCTTTAATTCCTCCCAAATTCTACTACAAGTCAGGGTTACCTTCTGCTCATAAAGCTTGTACACTATACGCCTAATCACCCTGTATCAAAGCTGTCTAATATCCTTTTACTTCCAAGTTTTGTTTTTGAGACCATCCCTATACCTGTTTTGTTTTCTTACCATACCGTAGACATGATGGTATGAATTGAAAACCCCATAGCTTGGGCAGTTCGGTAATTCACCCTATCTAAATTAATAAATGGTTTCCCTCTATCCCTCTAAAGTGTAAAGAACTTGTATATATTTCCCAGTACAGACTCCATATCATGTACCGTGGTTATGGCTATGCAAGTGTATTGTAACATGCATCATGGGAGCAGTGTTGACAAAAGAAACGCAGTGTCATTTTGTCATTATAGAAGATGCACATCTAGAATTTTGTCCAAATGACTTTTGTGTGTGGATTAGATGTTTTATGAAGACTACATTATTATCATTATAACAGAGTCACATGTGCATATTTCTATAGTCAGTTTCAGACTATCATCATTGGACTTAGAATATATGTGAACTTCCTGTTTTCGTTCAAATTTGTCTCCTGTAAACTTGTCGATAGGACTCCTTGTGACTGAAATACTTTAAACCACAGGTAGGTCGAGTGGTAGTTACTCGATATTTCAATGACAACAGTCTGTGAAAAATTATATCCTTTTTTAACAGGCAAAAAGTAGTTTTCTAGCATTTCCGACAGTACTTTAGACCATGGATACAATACATGTATCCTTTATACAAAAGCATGAGCAAATACAGCCATGAAGTTGAGTGTTCTGAGGTTTTAAAAATAATCTGACCTAGCTAGTAAAAAATCAGTGATTTCAGAATGGAGAAAAGTAAATTTAAAATTGAACTGGGAGCCCTGTGATGAAGTTCTTTTAGAAAACACCTCATACACTCAGCGTGTGAATGTACTGGTTTTCAAAGTAGAGCTAGGTAACCTGTAGAGTTACATGCACTAAATGAAAGTGGAACTGAATATTAATAGGACCAATAATGCCACTCAAGTCAGTGTACAATTCATTTTTATGTTACAAGCATCAGATATGATAGAATCTATTGATCTCAGGAGTGGAGCAATGGCGTCCCATGTTACAAGTTACACGGGAAAGACAGTGAAAGGGCTGCTCTTGTACGTAATACAAACACCTGATTTCTAGGTATTTAGTATGTTTTTGTTTTGATATGTTTTAGTTTAATCCATATGCCGATCAAAAACCTGTCACAGGACCCACTGGAAACTGAAACAAAATGAGGAACTTAACTGGTCTTCTTCGAGGGGCCCGTCTCCTTGGTAGCCGAGCAACCAGACAGAGTCCCAGACATAGCATACCAGGTAGGTTTTCAACTGACTGTAAGTGAATCTGCAACGACATGTGCTGCAGTCACCAATATTACAACCATATCACTCTAGTCTGATCATCACACTGATCACACAGTCAGGTCACACATTGTAACCACCTGATGACAAACAATCACTAAGGTCACATTGTAACCACCTGATGACACACAATCAGTCAAGTCACACATTGTAACCACCTGATGACACACAATCAGTCAAGTCACACATTGTAACCACCTGATGACACACAATCAGTCAAGTCACACATTGTAACCACCTGATGACACACAGTCAATCAAGTCACACATTGTAACCACCTGATGACACACAATCAATCAGGTCACACATTGTAACCACCTGATGACACACAATCACTAAAGTCACATTGTAACCACCTGATGACACACAATCAATCAGGTCACACATTGTAACCATCTGATGACACACAATCAATCAGGTCACACATTGTAACCACCTGATGACACACAATCAGTCAAGTCACACATTGTAACCACCTGATGACACACAGTCAATCAAGTCACACATTGTAACCACCTGATGACACAAAATCAGTCAAGTCACACATTGTAACCACCTGATGACACACAATCAATCAAGTCACACATTGTAACCACCTGATGACACACAGTCAGTCAGGTCACATATTGTAACCACCTGATGACACACAGTCAGTCAAGTCACACATTGTAACCACCTGATGACACACAATCAGTCAAGTCACACATTGTAACAACCTGATGACACACAGTCAATCAAGTCACACATTGTAACCACCTGATGACACACAGTCAGTCAAGTCACACATTGTAACCACCTGATGACACACAATCAGTCAGGTCACACATTGTAACCACCTGATGACACACAATCAGTCAAGTCACACATTGTAACCACCTGATGACACACAATCAGTCAGGTCACACATAGTAACCACCTGATGACACACAGTCAGTCAGGTCACACATTGTAACCACCTGATGACACACAGTCAGTCAGGTCACATATTGTAACCACCTGATGACACACAATCAGTCAAGTCACACATTGTAACCACCTGATGACACACAGTCAGTCCGGTCACACATTGTAACCACCTGATGACACACAGTCAGTCAAGTCACACATTGTAACCACCTGATGACGCATAATCAGTCACGTCACACATTGTAACAACCTGATGACACACAGTCAGTCAAGTCACACATTGTAACCACCTGATGACACACAGTCAGTCAAGTCACACATTGTAACCACCTGATGACACACAGTCAGTCACGTCACACATTGTAACCACCTGATGACACACAGTCAGTCCGGTCACACATTGTAACCACCTGATGACACACAGTCAGTCAAGTCACACATTGTAACCACCTGATGACACACAGTCAGTCAGGTCACACATTGTAACCACCTGATGACACACAGTCAGTCAGGTCACACATTGTAACCACCTGATGACACACAGTCAGTCCGGTCACACATTGTAACCACCTGATGACACACAATCAGTCAAGTCACACATTGTAACCACCTGATGACACACAGTCAGTCAAGTCACACATTGTAACCACCTGATGACACACAGTCAGTCAGGTCACACATTGTAACCACCTGATGACACACAGTCAGTCACGTCACACATTGTAACCACCTGATGACACACAGTCAGTCAGGTCACACATTGTAACCACCTGATGACACACAGTCAGTCAAGTCACACATTGTAACCACCTGATGACACACAGTCAGTCAGGTCACACATTGTAACCACCTGATGACACACAGTCAGTCAGGTCACACATTGTAACCACCTGATGACGCATAATCAGTCAAGTCACACATTGTAACCACCTGATGACACACAGTCAGTCAGGTCATACATTGTAACCACCTGATGACACACAGTCAGTCAGGTCACACATTGTAACACCTGGTTCCCACTTTGTTCACACAGCTTGCTCGTGGTATTTACAGATAGAAATCAAGTCTTCTAGTTTGCATAGTCATGGCATATATTAGGTTCTGAAAGTCTACCAGCCCCAAGAATATGTTAATATTGGTCAAGACTAGTTTTTGAAGGGAGATATATATATTTTTATTTTTGTAGTAAGCACATTTTTTACTGACATTCAAATGTCAAAGCAAAAGTGAATGAAATGTGAAATGGCTTATAGGCGCAACTTTATAAAATTTAAAAGGGCAAGTGAAAATATTCAGGACGACTACACTATAATATCTACTTGCCCTGCAGGACAAGTTGACTTTAAGAAATGTTTCAAGGTCTGCGTTCTTATTGAAAGCATCATGCGCCTCTGTCATATTTATGCCAACTGTTGCTGCAGGGGCAGGTTGACCTTCAGTGAGGTCATGTTATCTCAGTTACCTGTGTAATTACTTCCATAGGATGTTGGTGATTCACTTTGTTCAAGTTCACCTATCGGGGGCACGGCTGGCCCAGTCATCTAATTCGCTGTGCAGAAACCTATGATTGTGGGTTCGAATCCGGTTCGCCCCAATTATGTTTCTAGGTTTGTCAGCACCATACCTGTGCTGATGGGTTTCACGAATGTGGTAACTGTCTAAGACCTGCATCACTTAGGGGTTTCCTCCCATATCAAGCTGACACGCTGTGATATAACTGGAAAACTGTTCTAAGCGGCTTTAAACCGTACTCAATCACTAACTATTTCACCTATCACCCTGCTATAGCGTATGTGATACATGGGGACAGTCTGATCAATGACAGAAGTACCTGATATTGAGCTTGTTGATGGCTTTCCTCACAAACCACAAGACCCAGAGAGCTGAATCTTTATGAAGTTGTGCAGGGCCATAACATCACTTTGATTTGTACAAGCTAGTTCTCCAGTATTGGGTTGCCTCTATTTGTGTCCTTGTTACATATGTTATTGGTAATTCATTTTTAATATACTGTGCCAGTATGTAAATTTATGCTTTATCTGCAACTATGTACCTATCTTCCTTCATGGTGACATGCTTGCCATAAAAGGTGACTGTGCTTGTCGTACAAGGCGACTAACGGGATCAGGTGGTCAGGCTCGCTGACTTGATTGATGCACGTCATTGATCCCAATTGCGTGGATCGATGCTCATGATATTAATCACTGGATTGTCTGGTCCAGACTCGATTATTTACAGACCGCCGTCATATAGCTGGAATATTGCTGAGTGCGGTGTTAAACAACAAACAAACCAAATCCATCATGGTGTCTTCCCTTCAGCAACCAAAGCTTGCCGTAAAAGGCACCTATGCTTGTTGTAAGAGGCGACTAAAGGGATCGGGTGGTCAGGCTCGCTGACTTGGTTGATGCATGTCATCGATCCCAATTGCGTGGATTGATGCTCATGATATCAATCACTGGATTGTTTCGTCCAGACTAGATTATTTACAGACCGCCGTCATATAGATGATATATTGCTGCGTGCGGCGTTAAACAATAAAACAACTTGGTGTCTTCCTGGAAACACAAACACCATTTTTTTTTCAGTAGTTTCTCAATATGATATCAAGTGCAACATATCAATCATTATGTCACAGTTTCAATAAAGTCAAAAGTAAATGCGAAATCTAATATCCGCTTTTTCATTGTAATATTTATCATGCTTAGAGTTCAAGGTTAAATAGCATTCAAAACATTACTTCATCAGTGTTCTTGTTGTTAGCCATTCTGGTATCATTTGTAGACAATTTTAAATCATTAGATTAATAAGTATGAATAAGTTCTGACACCAAGTTACTCACAGACTATGTGTTAAGTGGTCCAGCAGGAGGTTTGGTACCTTTAAGTCATTGCTATGTTAATAACCGACTATGATATTAAAATGAATACCAGGTTTCCTCTCGAAGTTGCAGATGTGTCAGGTTCCTGGAGCCAACATTGGACTATTTAGATTTTCTTTTCAGACAAATGGAAATGTACATAAATTGTGAAATATCTTTAATAATTTACGAAACCATAAGTCTAGGAATTGGAAACTTTGAAATGTTTGGATCCTACCCAATGGGATTCAGCTTGGGTCATGTCAGCAACATAGGAATGAATACCATTTTGTTTTTTAATGAAAATATTTAAGTAAATCTTGATGAAAATCCTTCAGACACATTGAGCGGAATCTTCCTAGAGATCCATTTGTAGTATTCTATCTTCTCAGAAACCAAGACGCTCAGAGTGGTGATATTTTGTTGCACTACACTGGAGTTCAGATCTATGCACGGCATATCGAGTTTACCATGATAAAGTAGGCTCCAGTGATGAAGCTGAAACTGGAAAATTATTGAAAAATGAAAAATAAAATTATCTTTGGTTAATAATTTTGTGTCTGTTATGTATTAAGAAATGTGCAGAAACATTTCATAAACTCAAGGCGTCATTATTGAGCTTATGAACCACATATTTCGGAGGAAAGAGGCGATAGTAAAGGATGGAAGAGTACCAAGTTTTAGGCATTGTTGCTTCCCTCCTTCAAATATCTTTCCAATAAAAGACAGCAAGCATTGTTTTTGTGAATCGGAAATGTTTTTTTCAAAATGGATGATATGTACCAAGGCAGCAACACTTTTGTTATTTTTGAGGGGGGTGGTAATTTAGGACTCGTATGAGCAGGATGGTAATCTAGGACAAGTGTAAGCTGGATGGTCATTTAGGAATAGTGTGAGCAGGATGGTAATTAAGGACCCCATGTGAGCTGGATGGTAATTTAGGTCTCCATGTGAACTGGATGGTAATTCAGGACCCATGTAAGCTGGACGGTAATTAAGGACCCATGTAAGCTAGAGGGTAATTTAGGACCAGTGTAAGCTGGATTATAATTTTTAAAACCCATGTAAGCTGGATGGTAATTTTGGACCCATGTGAGCTGGATGGTAATTCAGAACCAGTGTAAGCTGGATGGTAATTTAGGGCAGGTGTATACTTGATGGTAATGTAGGACCCATATAAGCTGGAGGG